TGTGAGGCTTCGGGGGCAAGTAAAAAAGGCCCAGAGAGTGTCTGCCTGCCTGAGGTTCCTGAAGATGATGACGCACAAGATCCTGAACCGAGATCCGCCGCCTGGCGCTAGAAGGGGGAGTGGGCCGTGGGCTTTGATCCTCATGCCCTGCATTAAATGGGCGGATTTTGGAGCTTGGTGGTCCCGCTGCTTGAGTTCCCTCGTTCCGATTCAGGAAGGACGAGATCCTCAAGGCCTTCCGGCTCTTCGATGACGACGAGACCGGCAAGATCTCTTTCAAGAACTTGAAGCGCGTAGCCAAGGAGATGCGGTATGTTAACGGTCTGCATCCAATCCGTCAGATCGAAACCACACAGCGCGAGTTTGGAAAGGATGAGAGCAATGCTGCCGCAGAGTTTAAGCTTGCAAGCTGACCTGGCAGGTTTTCGTTGTGGTGTAGATGCACATGCCGAAGTGAGTAAATAAGTTTTCTTGTATCGTGGAAGGTAAACCCCATGCCTGCAGAGGAAAGGAAGTGGAGTGCTCACTTGCTCTGACACCATCAGACGCTCGCACAGACAGAGACAGAGACAGAAACCGGCCTCAACAGTCTGTCCCAGTCCCAGTCTGGTTCCACTGAGATCCGGACGTAAACGTAGTTGGGACTGCAGGAGCTCGGCGAGCGCATGACCGACGAGGCGGCTCGCGGGATGCGCCGCTGCGCCAATGCGCCGCTGTCGCCTGTGCTCTGTGCTGCTTTTGTTTGGCTCCTGTCGCAAGGAGCTCCAGGAGATGATCGATGAGGCGGACCGCGACGGCGACGGCGAGGCTCGGCAATTTGCTTGCTACTGCTTCAGCCAACAGAAGGAGAGATTTGTCTGCACGCTGGCGCTTGCCGTCGCCGATGCTAAGCTTAATCTCTGGAGCTTGTGCGAGGTCAATGAGGAGGAGTTCCTGCGTATTATGAAGAAGACGAACCTTTTCTGAGCCATGTGGCCCTTGGGGTGGCAGTCGAGCGTTCACAACGGCTTGGAGGAGCACTGGAACCCGGCAATCATAGGAAGTGCTTTGTGAAAGACGACCTGAAGACCGGCATCGGCGGTTCGAGTCTTCTCTGACTGTTGTTTCCGACTCACCACTTCCTACTTCCTCATGGGAATGCAACTCGTGTTCCTGCTGATGTTCCCGTTTGTGTTCAGATGCAGCCTGCACGGAAGCAGAGACTCCCATGTGTGCATGCTCTAAGAAGCCAATGCCTCTGGCTCCCGGTTCACATGTTCGGAGTCTCAGCAGCACCCACACCTGCTCAGCTGTTTCGAAGTGCTTCATCCCATGCCGGGAGTCCAGGAGACTGAATGTATCCTAGGCCTGCACCTGCTCCATTCACACTGACAGAATTGAAGTGGGATGCAGCGCATAAAAGAAGCGGGAGGGGGGATGGCAGTCAAGGGCAGTGTCAAGGGCTGCTGACAGGTGGCACCGGTGGCAGTGCTTGCAGACCAAGCCCTCATGCCTGAACCCCGTACTCAGCTTTCCCCACCCTCCACCCAAAGACTGCGCAGGCGGAGCCTCACGCTCATGAAGCGCTACTAGGGGGATCGCCGGGGGCCTAGAGGGGAGCCCGAGTGATGCCCGTTCTCGACTTCGCTTTCCGATGCAGAGGCAGGTCAGGTTCCAGGCAACTGGGGTAGCCACAGCCGTGTAGTGATCTCTGTGCAAGCCGCATGATGCCCTTTCTGCCGGTCCAGGCCAAAAAAAAGGGCCACGCGGGAAGGCAAGGGCCAGAGCAGCGTCACGGAGTTTCTTCAAAGCCTGGTAGAACGCGAAACTGTGGCACACTGGCACAGGGCTCCGCAGCCGCCCGCATGCCTTCCGAACGCCGGGCACCCGATTCTCGGGACTAGGACGCTTTTCAAAGGGCCCAGGACCCAGGGCCCAGCTGCTGTCTGGGGCGCACCGCCTGCACTGATGCGGTAAGTATGTGGTAATCAAGCAGTGCCGTGCGTTGGAATATCCCAGACGTCAGTGTGGGTACCCAGCAAGCTTGCATTCGAGTGCCAGCATCAGACTCTTTAAATTAGACAGCCGCCGAACCTCTGACCATGTCATCCAAGCTGAATGTCAATAGTCGTGGTTGCGCTACTTGTTGATTTTTTCTTCTTCTTCTTGCTGTTACTATCATCACTATGACTGATTCTTGCCTTTACCTCCGTTAGTGTCCGGGCTCTTGTGGCTTCAAACAAGACTGCCATCTCAATCACTTTGGTGATGCTGATTCATTGCGACCATTGCACATCATCTTTTCATGTTTGCTATTCTTGCTCTTATCAGCGTTATCATGCACAACATGATGTGTGTGTCATTCTTATCAGCACTGTACTTGCTTTTCAATACTTTCAGATTCCCTTTTCTATCAATCAAGCTACTCTGTTACCACGGGTCCGATTGGACTCCAGCTGTTTACGGGTTTTCTGAGTTTTGGTTGTCCTGCTTTCCGCTTCATTGCCTCTATGATTGCAGCTTGGATTTAAGGCAGGACGACCATGTCAGCAGCGAGCTGCTTGAGACCCGCCGCTCGCCGAATCGTTGTGCAAGTTTGCGATTTTCATTGGGTGCTACCCTTGCCTGTAGAGAAATCCAATTCCGTTTTCGACGCAGGTTCTTGGAGAACCCCAGCAGAGGCCGGTGTCACCTTGACATGCTCTTGACTCTGAAGTCCCCAGAGCCAGAAGTCTGTCGCATGAACAGGCTGGTCTTGATGATGGTAGAGACAGAGAGATCGACAGAGAGGAAGTGCGGCAAGATGTAGCAACGCATCACGGCACTAGGATGCACTAGGTCAAAGTGATACGACTGACAAGGACTGACACGCTTGGTGCCAGCAACTGGTGGCCAGCTTGCTTTCCGAGAAAGGCTGAAGAAGAATCGAGTCAATAAGAGAGTGAACGAATAATAGGTACTAGTCACCACATCGGTCATATCTTTGCTCCACGATCCTCTGCAGATCGATGCCCTTCTGCGGGTCGACGCAGCTCCACTGCCAGAGTCTCCGAAGCTTGGCCGAACGATCTCGGCGTGTGAGTTAAGAGGTCTGAGATTCCATGGTCCGGGACATGGGGGTAGGCGGTATCGACCGGAATGAGTTTCACAGGCCACTTTGCAGTCGCAGCTAGGTGCAGACAAGTACCTCTGGCTGATGCGCCGCTGCTCGCAGTGGAGGACTTTGGGCACACCTCGACAGTCCGGAAATTTCGGAGCTTTCGGCCACTGCGCCGTCAGTGTAAAACTCAGCCGAGAAGTTTGGTCCTGCTTGCACGCAGGAAGCGATTGGGGAACCAACCCACCATGAGCCGAAAGTGCACGTGCAGGCACGGGCCTCAGAAGTTTCTGAGCTGGAATGAACTTTTCAGAACGGGGAGCGTGCGTCCTCCAGCCCTCCAAACACCACGTAAAGGTTGTGGGCTTGTCCGATGCATCCGGCGAATGGCAACGGACTGCAATGCCAAGACTGAGCTTTCCGAAAAGTATGCCCCCCAAAATCGCCGTCGAACCCAACTGAACTCCACGAAAGCCGGGGAATGCCGGAGACGTGAGCCGGAGAGTGTTGGCGAGGCAAAGCGCCGCCGTGCTTGGCGCCGCCGTTCCGCCCCCCTCAGGCGGCCAGGGCGGCGCAGCCGGGCAAAGGCCCCGGAAGAGGCTCGGGTCGTCGGGTCGGGGTGATAGTCCAAGTGTCCCGTCGAAGTCAGAGAAATGTAGAGTGTCAGACCCAGCTGGCCTGCAGGTAACACTTGTGAGGTGTGTTTGGGGTGTGCCTGTTCAGTGCTTTGTAGGGAGCTCAGATCACGCCGATCAGAAGTCACCGCAACTCGAGCAAACATGGCAAGCATCTGCAATGCCAGTGCCAGGAGCAGGAGGAGAGTGTCCATCCTGGGCATCAGCCGACGGAGGCAGCTTTTGTGGCCGAGGCGGAGTTGCACCACCGATGCACTGAGCCTGTTTTCTTTTCAAGCCGTATAGCTGCGAGAAGGCTTATGGCTACGGGTTCTATCGGCCATGTTGGGATTGGCCTTTGTCACGACTCGAGCCCCGTCTGCACCAATCGGGAAGAAGTCTGCTGCTCGCTGGCATGCTGACCGCTGTGACCCCTGTGATGCAAGTCCTCGCCGCTAAGACCCTGAGGAGAAGAAGCTGCGACTGTTGGAGCTTGATCGCGAGCTGATGAAGGCCAGAAAAGAATGTGGCGGAACGTTGGGCCTGAAGGGTGAAACGGTGAAACATGGTGAAGCTGCCAGCCGAGGCGGACCGGGATGAGATGGAGAGCCTCTTGCAGGAAGCATGCGACTCGGCTCTGGACTATCAACGCCTGACAACCTGCACGAACAAAAGCTTAGTAGCCGAAGATAGCTGGAGCGTGTGGCTGCCCGAGTTCTGACGGTTTTTCGCGGCGCAGGGGAGCTGCGCCTGGAGAGCAAGACCTTCGAGTAGAGTAACTTGGCTTGAGCGAGTCAGGTTTGGATCAACCGCAGATCTAGCGTGAGGCGCCGAAGATGCTGTCTCAAGCCTGGTCTGTCCATGCCATGCTCGACCGCGAGCGCGCACAATCAACCATCAAGCCATCCTCATCCACTGATGATTCTACCCTGAGACTCGCACCCCTTTCTCCTGGCTACCGCCCTCGCTGTTCAGCTTTCTTTCACTCTCACTCTCACTCTCGCTGCTTGCCACCCCGATGCGGGGCACACCCATTCACGGACTCACTCGCTCGCACTCTCATTCATACGCTCGCCCACTTTCCTCTCCCCGACACACATGGTTGCGAACCGGCACACAAGCCGTAAGGTTTTCCGCGTATTGTTGTCTCCAGCGCCCCTAATCTGGAAAGCATGTTGGTGTTGTTGCTGAAGCATGCTGAAGCGGAAGGCATGGTCGTGTTTGTGAAATTCGGATGCGCATTCTGGTGTCTGTTGCAGCCGTTCGGTTTTCGCAGCGCTCGATAGCTTGCATCCTGATCTGCTTTCGCGATGGCACGGCTCACAAAGACGGTAGCGGTGACCCTCATGGCCATGCTCGCTGCAGTCCTCCAGGGTTGTGGATGCGACACGAGCAACCTTGCCAGCTGCACCAGCAGCGCATCTGGCTGTGACGGACTGACCACCTACATGAACTGCGTGAAAGATGCCGGCTGCTGCGATTACGAATCCGGTGGGGCCAAGGTCAAGGATGGCTTCGAAGCGATGGTGGCCTTAGTGAATCTCGTGCCAGGAAATGACTGCACCTTGAATAGCCCTTGCTAAGCCGATCGGCCACAAGCGTGCTGGGCTTTGCAGGCTGCAGGATAGCCGTCACATGTGTAGACCTGTAGACACTCGAATCCTCTCAAGCTGTCCCGCGGTCCTTTGCATCACTAGCACGACCAAGCGTGATGCCGTGGTGTCGCAATGCTCGGCACCGCGTCCATGCAATGCTGCCCTTGTGATTTCAGCACTGGGTGAGGGGGGAACGATGAAAAGAGACCCCGTGCTGTTCACGTAGCTGCGGGTCCCTGTCCCGTTAAATATCCATTAATGTCCATTAAAGTTAAATCATGGGAGCAAGGAGATGCATTTTCAGGGGTTTGCTAGGTCATTTTGGGGTTCGGCTGTTAGGTTTTTTGTTAAGTCAGCCGAGAAGGCGGCGCTGAAGAAGCAGTTGATGGTTTTGCGGTCGTCTGCAGGGTCTTGCTTACTCCTTCACTTGCTCCTGCTCTGCTGCAGCTGCCTCCTAGTCCACCGACTTCTACTCCGCTGCGGATACTGCTGCTTCGGAATGTTACCCGGATAAAGTACTGTCTGTGTTGATAACCCCCAGGTATCATGTCCAGCCCTTTTGCGGCGCACACGTGAATGCAGCTGCAGGCTCGAGCCACGCGAGCATCAGCTACGAGTCGAGCTGGCCTGGCTGCCATGCGGAGCTTTCAGCCTTCCACTTGGCACCAAAATCGCTAAGATAGAGACGTAATGATAGCTTGCTGGGCTGGGCTCCCACACGGATGTGGCCAGTACTGTAAAGTCTGTCGGGTATATCGGCAAGGACTTGGGATGCACTGCGAGACCGCAGAACTGTTGCAGTGGAAGGTGGTAGTTTTTTGGCTTAATTCTTGGTGCATGCGTCGTGAGCTAGTCATGGTCAATGCTGTTCGTTGGAAAAGGAGCAGCTTGGGTGCTGTGTTTGGGACTACTTCAGAGACTGAACCTCAGACGGTCTTGTGACAATTTTTTGTGATATCCGCAGGTGCTCAGTGAAGTGTAGCGGCCAGCCCAGGAGAGGCCATGGTGCCCAAATGCTTGGGTGAGTTTCAGGCGTACTTAGACAAGCATCCGATTCGATTCAATCTCGTGGTGGTCATTCTGCTCCTTCCGTCGATCAGTGCAGGAACGTTGCTGCGAGCCTTAGTAGCTGCCGTGGTCACGAGGCAAGGTTTAGTGCTCTCCGCCACCTTTGTGGCCATACGCATTGTCGCGGAGTGGCTTGGAAACCTTTACACCTTCTTCTGGTACGTGCAGACCTCTGCGGTCTCCAAGCTGGAAGGGGCTGAACGCTGGAGTTCTGCAGGCCGCGGCATGCCACGGCCTGTCTTTCCCTGACATTTTGGTGCCAGGATGGCGTGTAGGACGGCAAGACTCCCCTCTACAGTCGAGCTGAGCATTTCTGAGCATGTTCTCTGTCCGTTTCTTTCCCGGAGGTTCCTGGTTGGTGCTGGGCTCCGTTGCGTCGTTGGCCTTGGGGCTGCTGACCATGCTGGTCATGATGGCCCTCGCCGAGTGCCTCGGCTGGGCTACTTACGGCTACAGCGGCTACTCTGGGGTGTATGCAATCTCGAAGCCCAAGAAGCTTCCCGTGACACTGAGAAAGACAAAGAAGGTTTCGGGCTGTCGTGAGCTCGACAGTGCTCGGAGTTTGAAATATGCCGAAGACCCCGCAAGCAAATCCAGGATTCCCGTGTGCGATAGGCTCCAAATATCTCGAGACATGAGGGTTCACCACCTTCGCCATGCACTCATCTCGCCCCTCACAATGGAGCTCTGAGGCCTTTGCTGCAGCTCTTCTCTCCGGCCTCTGTCGACGACACGTCGATCATGGTGTCCATCGGGTCCGAGGGCGGCAGCTAGCAAGGTTTCAAGGATTGTGGCATACGCAGGCAAGGTCCAAACCCGCATCCAAGGGGCATGGCAAGTAATAGTCGCGGTGGACCCGGGGTCCGGATGCCTGCTCCGCTAGTGCTGATATCAAGGCCTGCGTGTTGACTACGTGTTGTGGCCATCGAAACGGAAGGAACCCTCACACCGAAAGATCCCCATTCAAACTTGGTGGTTCGTGTGGCGGGCTGCAAACCACACTGAATTCTGCTTGAATTGCTGAGAGGGTTAGAGCAGCGGTTTCGCCCCCTCGCACATAGTCGTGCGGGATTCTGGCCTCAATGACTTAGACTCTCCAGCATGGGGCTCAACAGCTTGGCTTTGAGTGTCGCTGATCTCGAATTTCGAGCATGTGAGGATGATGGCGCAGCTTGTCATTGCGACTCTTGTTCCAGCGAGGGCGGCTCAGCTGCGAAAGCCTCGGCAGATCATGCACCCCCACGACCTTTTGTAGCATCCCCTCTTGATCATGCTTCAGTTTGCCTGTTCTTCCCAACTTCGAGTGCAGACATCAGGTGTGCATCTCCAACTTCTCCGGTGTTGGCTTGGCTCAATCTGGCAGCAACCTTGTCCTGAGCTTTGGCTTTGACACGGGCCGGGGTGAGTCCATTTCCTTACATTGTCAGGATTGCAGTCGTTTGGGGTCATAGCTGTCAGCGTCGTGGGAGTGGTATGCCGGGTCGGGCATGGTCAACGTCGTATCAGTTGTGGTCGTAGGCGTCGTCGGATTCGTAGAGGTCGTCGTTGTAGAGGTCGTGGTCGTGGTCGAGGTCCTGGTATTATTATTATTATTAGTAGTAGTAGTAGTAGTAGTAGCAGTAGTAGTAGCAATAGTAGTAGCAGTAGTAGTAGTAGCAGTAGCAGTAGCAGTAGCAGTAGCAGCAGTAGTAGTAGTAGTAGTAGTAGTAGTCGTAGTCGTAGTCGTAGTCGTAGTCGTAGTCGTAGTCGTAGTCGTAGTCGTAGCCGTAGTCGTAGTCGTAGTCGTAGTAGTAGTAGTAGTAGTAGTAGTAGTAGTAGTAGTAGTAGTAGTAGTAGTAGTAGTAGTAGTAGTAGTAGTAGCAGTAGCAGTAGCAGTAGCAGTAGCAGTAGCAGTAGCAGTAGTAGTAGTAGTAGTAGTAGTAGCACGGGCAGGCTTAGGTTTGCCCCGAGGAGCTTTAGTGACAAGGGCAGCGAAGTGCAAAATACGAGGCAGGCACAGTACTTTCGAGGGTTCGAGGGTTGAGATGGCAGGAAACGATTTCCGCAAAAAAATCAAAATTTTCGCACAAATTGGTGTTTGCAGTGGCAACCCACCCACTCCTTTTGGTGTTGCAGTGGCAACCTACCCACTCCTTTTAGGGTTTGAGGGTTTCCCACACACCCACCCACCAATTCCTGTTAGGGATTGAGGGTTTCCCACCTACCCACTCTTTTTTGGGTTTGAAGGTTTCCCACACACCCGCTCCTTTTAGGGTTTGAGGGTTTGCCACCCACCCACTCCTTTTAGGGTTTGAGTGTTTCCCACCCACCCACCCACCCACCCATTCCTTTTAGGGATTCTTTTGGGGTTTGAGGGTTTCCCACACACCCACTCCTTGTAGGGCTTGAGTGTTTCCCACCCATCCAGGCCCATCCACCCACCCATCCACTCAAACCTTTTAGGGATTGAGGGTTTCCCATCCCCACTCCTTTTAGATCCTTTTAGGGATAGAGGGGGTTTCCCACCCATCCATCCACCCACCCACCCACCCACCCACGCACTCATCTGCTCTAAGTCTAAGCCGTAACGCTGTACGCAAAGTTGCAGGAGTGGACTTAGCCACGTGCAGTGTTTGCAGGAGGAGCTTTTCCCGGAGCCCGGCCCGCTCTCGCCACGCCGGGCCGGCGGTGTGGCCACCCCGCCCTGGGTGCACCTCGACTTCAAGCTTCAGCATGTTTCGGATGCTTGAGCCCTGCTGTGGTGCTGCGGTGCTGTGCATAGTTTTCGCAGGCGCCCGATAAATTGTGGAAGATTGGCCTGGGTGTGAGTGCCCCATGATGTGGGGGTGATCTCTTGGCGGTCCCCTGGATGTCTCGTGGTGGCACCTTGGCGGTCTCATCGTCGTGTCGCGGTGATCTCTTGCTGGTCCCTGGCAGGTCTCTGATGCTGTCCTGTCTGTGGGCGTCGTTGTCCTTGTCATGATCGCCGGGTGTTCTCTGCATGGAGATGACAAACTTGTGACTAGTTGCGACCTGTGTTTTATCAAGCATAGGGAGCCACAGGCCCGGCGTGAATTCCATTGAACGGTATGCTTCAGGTGTGGTCTTACACTGTTTCGGAATCTTTGCTGGCATACCAAGCGGAGTCTTGCGAACTTTCCTGGGGCTGGAGCGTGAACTTTTTCCAAGGTACCGGGAGCTCGATGCCCAGGAGCAGGAGTGGTACCACCTCCTCGAAGACGGCATCCCCTTCAAGGTTGGTGGTACCGGCGGGCGCGGCAAACCCAAGAAGGAGCGACCACGGGGCCGGCCAGAGCCTTGGGACGAGAGGGAGAGCTTCCGCAATTTGAGCAGCTCTTTGTTGCCCGTCACATTAATTATTACCATAGTGTATATATATATATACACATACCACTATAACACATGTATACATATAGAGAAAGCCGTGCTTACAGGTCACCGGTGCCGGCGCCACTGGCACCACCGGCACGAGGCGAGGAGACCGAACTCAAACTGGCGGGGTTGACGGTTCTTGGATGTTTGATTGAAAGGCTATGCGTAAGCCAAATGCTTCGTCGTCAAGCTCACACATCGTCTCATATTCATTTGTTCATTGTGGCAGGGAGCCGCTATTGCACCTCAGTAGGTGCTTGTTTTTTCATGAACTTTCATTATGCCAGGTCTGTTTCGGAACATGTGGGTTATTTTAGGATGAGTCGACGGGAACAATTCTGCAAGACGAGCAGCAGGAATATGCTTGCCACATCCGTTTAGGTCGACGTAGCCATTGCAAGAAACAGTGACTCCAAGTTCTGGTTGTATGTAGGCCTCTGCGTGTAGACCGTTGTTGAGCGAATGCATACTCATGCGTGGACCACAGCGAACTTTTCGAAGCTGATCTGTGCTTTGTATATCAGCAAGATGTCCTGGCAGGCCGCATTTGTCGCCCGGTCTCAGCCCCTGCTCGCCTCCGTGTCCCGGCTTAAGACCTTCATGGTTGCAGTTTCCGTGCGGTGTTTTTTGAATTGATCCACGGTTCGGTTTCCGCGCTTTTCCGTCGCATGGCTGAGAAGTTGCTTGGTTACTGTGGCCTCTCAATGCCACCAAAGCCCAAATTCGGCAGGCAGAGATCCGGTCCTGCCTGCAGCCCAGATTACTTCTTCGAGGGTATCCGGATGTTAGGGGTCGAGCCGTGGTTTGTGGGTTTCAGATTGGGCCGTGTGCTGTTTGTGCGTATTGCGGCTTGCTGCCTCCGTCTACATGCTTTCAGAACTCCAGCTTGTTTGGAGGTTTGTGCGTGCTCAATGATAGCACGAGGTTCTGGGCAACGTTCCTGATGCTCGATGCGGTGCTGGCCTCGGGGAAAGCTGGATGATGCTGCGTGGGTGATCGTGCATCAAGCAGGCGGGCGCGAATATAGCAGCATTGCAAAAGCAAGAAGCTCTATGGTGCAGGAAGCGGCTCGTGAAACCTGTTGCCTTTTCTCAAATTACCAAATCTGTGGGCAATTACCCCACCCCACCCCACCCCACCCCACCCCACCCCACGCCACGCCACGCCACCCCACCCCACCCCACCCCACCCCACCCCACCCCACCCCACCCCACCCCACCCCACCCACCCACACCCACCCACACCCACCCACACCCACCCACACCCACCCACACCCACCCACACCCACCCACACCCACCCACACCCACCCACACCCACCCACACCCACGCACACCCACGCACCCACCCACACCCACCCACACCCACCCACACCCACCCACACCCACCCACACCCACCCACACCCACCCACACCCACCCACACCCACCCACACCCACCCACCCCCACTCCTTTTTGGGGTTCGATGGTTTCCCACACACCCACTCATTTTAGCGTTTGTTTCCCACCCACCCACTCCTTTGGAGGGTTTCCCAACCACCCACTCCTTTTAGGGATTCAGGGTTCCCCACCCACCCACCCACCCACCCACTCCTTTAGGACTTTAGGGATTCGGGTTGCCCACCCACCCCCACCCACCCCCACCCACCCCCACCCACCCACCCACCCACTGTTGCGGCTGCTGCCTTGACCACTGCTGTAGTGCTATACTAGGAGCACGGGCGTAGTTCCAGTATCCCTACAAATATCTCCCTTCAGGGTGTAGGGTTTGCTCACCAGCATCTCCTTTTAGGGTTTAGGGTTTGCTTACAATGTTACAATGCACTGTGCAAAAAATGGCCCTGCAGCCCGAGCACTGCTGTCTGCCTCGAAGTCTCCAAAGCATTGCGCTGCCCACGTATCATGAGGTTCCGGTTGCCGCACCAGAGACCAATGTGCGCGAAAAATGTGCAACTTTTTGGCGGATATCATCTCCTGCCATCAGACTCGTCGAACCCTGGAAAGTACTGCGCTTGCCACGTATTTTGCACTTGCCGGTCTGCTCTACAGCGGTAACGTAGCCAAAAAAAAGGCCACGCGGCCTGAGCCCTTCTGGCAGCCTCGAAGTTTCAAAAGTATTGCGCTGGCCACAAAATATAAGGTTTCGGCGGGAAACCCTTAATCCCTAAGAGGAGGGGTGGGAAACCCTCAAACCCTAAAAGGAATGGGTGGGAAACCCTCAAACCTTAAGAGGAGTGGGTGGGTGGGAAACCTCAAACCTTAAAATGAGTGGTACAAGTGTGGACAACTGCTTGGGGCAAACCCCTGCATGTAGTAGTAGTGGTAGTAGTAGTAGTAGTAGTAGTAGTAGTTGTAGTAGTAGTAGCAGTAGTGATGGTAGTAGTAGTAGTAGTAGAAGTAGTAGTAGTAGTAGTAGTAGGAGGAGGAGGAGGAGGAGGAGGAGGAGGAGTAGGAGTAGGAGTCGGAGTTGGAGTAGGAGTAGGAGTAAGAGTAGGAGTAGGAGTAGGAGTTGCAGTAGCAGTTGCAGTAGCAGTAGCAGTAGCAGTAGCACGTGCAGTAGCAGTAGCAGTGGCAGTCGCAGTCGCAGTAGCAGTAGCAGTAGTAGTAGTAGTAGTAGCAGCAGCAGCAGCAGCAGTAGGAGTAGTAGTCGTCGTCGTCGTCGTCGTCCTCGTCGTCGTCGTCGTAGTAGTAGTAGTAGTAGTAGTAGTAGTCGTAGAAGTAGTCGTAATAGTAGTCAGTAGTAGTCGTAGTAGTCGTAGTAGTAGTAGTAGTCGTAGTAGTAGTAGTAGTAGTAGTAGTAGTAGTAGTAGCAGTAGTAGTAGCAGTAGCAGTAGCAGTAGCAGTAGCAGTAGCAGTAGCAGTAGCAGTAGCAGTAGCAGTAGTAGTAGTAGTAGTAGTAGTAGTAGTAGTAGTAGTAGTAGTAGTGGTAGTAGTAGTAGTAGTAGTAGTAGTAGTAGTAGTAACGTAGTAGTAGGAGTAGGAGTAGGAGTAGGAGTAGGAGTAGGAGTAGGAGTAGGAGTCGGAGTCGGAGTCGGAGTCGGAGTCGGAGTCGGAGTCGGAGTAGGAGTAGGAGTAGGAGTAGGAGTAGGAGTCGGAGTCGGAGTCGGAGTCGGAGTCGGAGTCGGAGTAGGAGTAGGAGTAGTAGTAGCAGTAGTAGTAGTAGTAGTAGAAGTAGTAGTGGTGGTAGTAGTAGTAGTTGTTGTTGTCGCAGTAGTAGTTAGCAGTAGCAGTAGCAGTGGCAGTATAGCAGCAGCAGTAGCAGTGGCAGTGGCAGGCAGTGGCAGCGGCAGCGGCAGTGGCAGTGAGTGGCAGTGGCAGTGGCAGTGGCAGTAGCAGTGGCGATAGCAGTAGCAGCAGCAGTAGCAGTAGCAGCAGTAGCGGTAGTGGTAGTGGTGGCAGTATAGCAGTAGCACGTACTTACAGCGGTAGTGGTGGTGGTGCTGGTAGAGGGTGTGGGTGTGAGTGGGAGTAGGAGGAGGAGCAGCAGCAGCAGGAGCAGTAGCAGTAGCTCAGTAGCAGTACAAAGTCAGTTGCAATCTGCAGCAAGCGGCAGCAGCAGCAGCAATGTGTGCTATGATCTGCGGCCCTTGTACAAGTCTTCACAAGCTGTTTTGGGCGGCAGGGTCGTTGGAATTTACCTTTCCATCTTCCTGGCGATCTCAGCCGCTGTGTCTATCCAGATTGGGGTCATGAGCCCGGGCTGCATGGAGAATGTACCTCAGAGCAAAGACGCGGGCTATGCAAGTCACAACGGTTTTTGGAATGGTAGGGGAGAGCTGACGATTCTGGTGTCGAACATAGACACAGAATTCAAGTCATGACACTGGTGCACAAACAAGTTCAGCCAATCGGCTGTTGACCATTGGGATGCCACGCCAGCGCCAGCGTGCTTGCAGTTTGTACACTCGAGAAAGGGTCGGAGAGCTGGGGTGGTGTGGCACTAACGTTCAGTAAGGATGGGTGACGTAAGGGCTAGACTGAACTGGCTAAACCGTTTGTGGCTTTCCATCGTAGCCACGATGATGAGAGCCATAACCCGGTCGGAGTGCATACACCGTTTCCTGCACGGTCCCGGTGAAAGACTCAACAGGGTCCACCCCAAGCTGGCCACATTCTCACTCAATCTGTCAGCTGTTCAGGAACGGAAGCGGCTGTGAGCAGGAAATTGTTGAGGCCAACTTGACTGCACATCAGGCAGCTCAGGCCAACGGCTGGAACAGCTCTGCGCCCATCTTCGATCCAGAGACCTGGGTCTGTTCAAGCGCCGAAGACGTGCTGGCAACCACTGCGCTGGTGGAGTCCGTTTCTGAATGGACAGCAGCTGCTGTTCTGTGCTTGCTCACTTTCCTCATCGGGAAGAAGCGTGGGTACTTTTTACCACATGGCTGCTCGTTGAAGCGATATGCCACAGACAAGGACGCGGCTGCAGTGGCCTACGATGCCTTCAGATCGCATGCAGGCGTGGCAGTGCGATCCATTCTGTTCAACACCATGGACATGATTTCCCCCGCAATCTCTTTGGGCATTGGCGTCACGGAAGCTGCCGTTTTCAACTTTTTTGCAGAGATGGGCTTTATCTCGTACACTGTGCCAAATTTGATATCCGCCGGTGCCATGATATTGGGTCCCCGTCTTCTTGGACAGGGAAGAATCGATGAATTCCGACAGCTCGTGCACCTGCACCGCTGGATTGCCTTGTTCTTCGGAGTTGCATTTACCGTCATCGCGTACCTTACTTCTGAAGTTTCGATTGCCGACGAGTTCACGAACAAGGTTGGCATGGACAGCATGGACAGAAGCTCGAAGTAGGCAGTGACACAGTCCTTGTGAGGTGGATGGCTCGTTGTTTGCGCCGTTGGCTGACGCAGTGCGCCGTTGATCGCATTGTCAGACATGCACACACACACACACACACACACACACACACACACACACACACACACACACACACACACACACACACACACACACACACACACACACACACACACACACACACACACACACACACACACCAACACACACACCAACACACACACCAACACACACACCACACACACCACACACACCACACACACCACACACACATACCACACACACCACACACACCACACACACCACACACACCACACACACCACACACACCACACACACACCACACACACCACACACACCACGCACACCACACACACCACACACACACACAGCACACACACAGCACACACACAGCACACACACACACAGCACACACACACACAC